CGCCAAGATACAAACATTTGTTTTTTCCCCCTCACCACACGCCTTTTTAGAATTTTCTCGACTTGAAAAGCCTTGTCATTAGTTATCTTAACTTTTTGTAACTCTTTCTCATAAAAAGTACCCTTGATCTCTTCTCCGTCATAATCTTTGAGCTTATAAACAGGTGGCTGTCGAGGTAAGCCTTCAGACACCGTAAATAATTCGTTCGTATAACTCTGCTCATATTTTTTATCGAATACTCCTCTCAATTTGGATATCCTTACAAGCTCCCCCTCCTTAAAGTTCATTTTGACAGCAGCTTTTTTACGAAGGCTGGAGGGGTTATATAGATTCCGAAACACTTGAGCCGCATTTTCCTTGGTTACCTGCATTGGCGTCATTTTAATACTTCGGTGATAACTATTATTGTAACTTTCAAGTAGTTCGGGTAAGACGTCTATATATCTATGAGTGTTTTTAGCTGTAAAATACCTCCACATTTTAGTTTTCAGCGTACGGTTAAATCTCTCTACCACGCATGCCTTCATATCACTGGCGGTTGCATAATGGGCTATACCTCTTTTCTTCAATAAGTTTTGAAAAACTTTATTAAAGAATTCTTTCCCCGCATCTGTTTGTATCTTTTTAGGGATCTCACTGTGTGTTAAAATTGTATCAAAGGCTTTGGCAACATCTATACCCGTCTTCTTCTTTAAGGCCTGAGCATAGGCTTTTTTCGAAAATACATCTACGACTGTTAACAAATAATTAAAACCATCATTATATTCGGACAGCGACTGCATATCGCAGAGATCTGCTTGAAATTGCTGCAGCGGTCTGAGTACGAAAACTCTGTTTCTTACAAAATGCACCCGAGCCGGCTTGTGCAAAGTATATGCGTCCTGCCCCGATAAATATTCCCTGACTTTCTCTACATTTATTTGTTTACCCATTTCATTCTGTACAGCTCTATGGAGTTTGTCCACACCTCCTAAACTCCCTGGATTAGAAGGTGTGTAATACACTTTATGCATCGCACGTTTCTCAGACATGTTTCCTGTTACACACCGTTGAGGTAATGAGTACAAAAGTTTTTCTTGCAAATCATTTTATTGATATGTCACACATGTATCAAAAAACATGTTAAAAGAAGTAAAATATAAAACATACTTTAACGAAAAAGTATCAAATTTGTTTTTGTTTGTCCTACTGCTGCCAAAAGACCCAGGCTGCTCTTATGGTCTTCAGACGGTTCTCGTCGTTGTCTATCAACTGGTCGTAAATTTTCTCCATTTTAGCTTCAAAGAGTCTGGTGTTTCTGAGATTGTGCAGAATCGCCTCGGTAGCTCCAAGGACTCTCCTCTCTGACACATGAAGCTGGCTTTTGTGCAGAGCATCCCGAATGGCTGGAATGAAACGAACGGTCCACAGTCTCTTTAACACCTCGTCATAATTGATGTTCAGAAAGTAATCTCGGGTCGGCAACAAACACTCGTGCTGCCTCTGACTGGGGTGAGCGATTTGACATCCATTGCATGTTTCCTCTTTATAGAGTTGCACGACCCTATCCAGCAGATGGGCTACAACAGCTTTTACCGTATTCAGGAATGATGAAGTCCTTCCACGTTCTGTATCAGGAACCACTGGAACACACGTATAGCATATGTCAACGCCTTCTGCTGCACATTCCCCTGGAGAGTCGGATGGAGGTTGAGGCATATCCATCCATCCCGTGATATCGATGCCCGCCATATAGTTGTCGAGATCTGGTGTCCAAATTGTTGGTGAGGATGGTGGTCCTGGAGGCGTCTGATCCAGGCTGCAGCTCACGGTGATGGAGTTGTTGTTTTTCAGATCCATGGCTGTTGTTGATCACAGACCGTTCTTGATGGGTCCTTCGTTTTAAATGATCTGGTGAGGTGGGGGTGGGACTTGTTATGCTGTTTGGGGGGCGGGGTCGTCTGCATAAGTGAGGGTCCTTTTCAGCAGTATAATGTCGATCGATGTCTGACTCTGTTTAAAAAGTTCTTTAAGCTTTACAGATTTCTCATCAATCATTTTCAACCAAGCAGTCAGAGGCACACGTAGGGCTGTCTGGAAAACCCCGCATGTAGAGTTGAAATACTCCAAAACAAAATCATCCGAGGGGTGCTTACCCAACGTCACCACACGGCTTGAGCGGTAATACCAACGCCCAGAGGGTCCGCTTTTAGTTTCCCATACGGTGCTTGACAGGATTCTTTTCACTTCTGGCTGCGGGGAAATATCTCCTTCCTCTTCCTCCAGCTTGATGGGCAACGGTGCAACCTCTTTTTTGATCTCGCCTGCTGTCTGCGTTTCTTGACTTTTCACTGCAAAAATCTTGTACACCGCTGGTTCCCCTATGCTTTCTTGATGCACTCCTTCTGCCTTCAATCCAGTGGTGGGGTGGGGGAGCTCTCTGGCAGACACCAGAGTTAACACAGCCCAATCTGTCGAGGTTAGCGTCGCATTAGCACTCTGTGGTCCGTACATTTCCCCCTTCTTTAAGTTGTAGAAATGCAATTCATTCGCCACATAGTTGAAGGCATAACCCCAGACGTCGCCATTTTCCAGAGTCCATTCTCCCTGAAGTTCTTCTTCGGTTGGAGGCGTTTGGACACGGCATACAAACCGCAATCTTTTCTTGATTGGAGCACCCAGCGGATGGCTGTAGGTTGTCACAGGTGTCTCGCAGATTACACCCATATCAAGACGTCTCTTGGCCATTTCTCTCGACTTGAGAAAATATTGAAGAGTGAGAAAGACGAATGGCTCTTATTTATCTAACCCTAACGGAAGAGGGGTGAGTGGTGGGGGTGTGTGTGTGTGTGTGTGTGTGTGTGTGTGTGTGTGTGTGTGTGTGTGTGTGTGTGTGTGTGTGTGTGTGTGTGTGTGTGTGTGTGTGTGTGTGTCCCCTCCCCATCGCCCCACCATTTGCCCCGCAGAGGATGTCGGGGGGTTTTATGGTCCCCACACCTGTCTTGACTGTTCATCAAACTTTTCACGGCAGAGAATAGCAGAGAGCGAGAGAGAGTTAGTGAGATTGACAGTACTTTTACAAATATATGGTTGTATATTTCTTGTTATTTGCAAGTATTTGTAAGTTACAGTCAATACTGCTGTATACAGGGGCACAGGAAGTGGTTAGGTGGCGGGACCTTGCTCTTTAGAGCTGAGACATTACTTTTAAAATATATGGTTGTATATTTCATGTTATTTGCAAGTATTTGTAAGTTACAGTCAATACTGCTGTATACAGGGGCACAGGAAGTGGTTAGGTGGCGGGACCTTGCTCTTTAGAGCTGAGACATTACTTTTAAAATATATGGTTGTTACATTTCATTTTATTTTATTTTGAAAACCGGAAGCGGGGGCGACCGGTAGGGGCAGCATTTTTATTTTTATCATTTTTAAAATATTTTTTAATTTTATTTTGAAAAACCGGAAGTGGGGGTGACCGGTAGGGGCAGCATTTTTATTTTTATCATTTTAAAAATATTTTTTAATTTTATTTTGAAAAACCGGAAGTGGGGGCGGGACTTCCGGTGGAAGGGGCGGGGCTTATGGAGGGGCGGGACTTCCGGTGGAAGTGGGCGGGGCTTAGCCGGAAGTGGGCGGGGTTTAGTCGGAAGTGGGCGGGGCTTAATAAGTAGGGAGAGGTGTGACCTGTCACTTTCTATGCATACTAATGAGATTGAAGTGGTATGTGTATAACTACTCGCATCAAAGCTTTGTGATTGGCCGGCGTGACCCCATGTGTCGGGGCGTGGCTGGTGAGCAGTGGGCAGTGCACTAGTTCGCTAACGTTGTCCGTGTCAACAGGAGTGACAGTCCGCACACGCACACACACAAGACCGCAATTATGGCAGAAGCAAAACATATATAATTTTCACTCCAAGTGGGAGGATGATTATTTTTGTATCTATTCCAATTCAAAGTCCATCTGTCTCATCTGCAATGCGAGCGTGGCTTTATTGAAGAAGGGTCATTTAGGAGCGGCATTTCAAAACAGTGCACAAACGCTACGAGACGGAATTCCCTCCTAATTCTGCCCTACGCTCCAAAAGGGGAGGGGCCTGAAAGGACAGCTAAATGCACAGCAGTCCATTTTCACCAGGCCCAACAACAAGAGCAAGGCTGCTACCAGAGCATCTTATATTATCAGTCACGTTCTTGCGAAACACAAGTATTTCAAAGACGGCGAAGTTGTGAAAGAAGCATTCCTGGAGGCTGCCGATGCGTAATAAAAAATAACAGTAGCCTTTCAACAGGTTTTTGATATGATAAAAACTCAAGTTAGATACCGTTATTAATCAGCTGTAAGTTTGAGTTTGTTTGAACGTATTCATTATAATTATTGTACAAAATGGTATAAGAATGCAAACTTAAATTGATTATAGTCTATTATCAATTCAGGTTAAGAAACTAGTGTTGCTTGCATCCTATTTTAAAAAGGCATTTATTTTTATAATCTACTAAAATGCAACAAAAAAAGGGTTTGATTCTATTAATTTTGTCTTTTTTATTGCACTGTTGCAGCAGATTCCTGTGTAGCTTCAGATCTGAGTTATCTTATTAGTAAGCCTCATTTATACTTTTGTAGCAACACTATTTTTATATAATGGCAAAGAAAGGGTTCAGAGTCTTTTCTTTTTCCCTGTGTCATATGTGGCAGCACTGTTCAATGTTTCTTGAAAACATTACCCACTGTAGTGTGACGTGTGAATAAACTCCAACTCTGTATCAACAACACTGTTGTGTAACTTCAGTTAAATACTTGTATGTGTGTAGATTAGAAAGAGGTAAGATAAAGGATCTGCAGTATTTTATGAAGTATTAATCGTACAAAGGTCAGTTTTATACAAGTAGAAGTGTGTATTTACCTGGTAGTAGGCTGTCAGTAATGGCTACGCCTCTCTATTTGGACTGGTAGATCTCGGCAGACTGGCAATTTTAAAAGTAGCTCTCGGTTCAAAAAAGGTTGGGCACCCCTGTTCTAGATGGTCAGCGATGTTCTCCAGTCTAAGAAAATCTTGCAAGAGTATGCGACAACTAAAACATTGATGGATGGTACACGACGACAGATGGTAAACCTACTGGTGGCTGACATGATCGAAGTTCATGGGTAAGGACTGAATATTCCCTTTTGGTGTTAATCATGTTTTCACAGATAGTGCTAAGTAATGTACATTTTGGAAACAGCTGCTCACATGTTCTAACAATCTAAAGCTGTAAGGCATTTATACTTTTAAGATACAATATATATATGTTTTTTTAAAGGAGGATCCCGCCAACACATGTGCGAGAAAAGTGTGCTCTTGGCATCATCACTCTATTTCCATGTCTAAGAGATCCATACTCAAAGAATGGATACGTAAGTCTATGAATGAATGACCTGTATTCGAATTTGTGAAAAGGAAGTGTGTTCATTCTTAACTTTTTGAACAACCTTCCTGTAATGCTATCACTTCTGTGTTCTCAGTTTTGATTTATTTTTGGATGTTACAGGAACACTACTATGATGCAGATGGTGGATCTGGCTACTTGGCATGGAGGATAAAGACGGTTCAGCGCAACACTGCGGTTCAGTCCCGGAGGTGCTACCCCAGCACTACCCATCAAGATGGTCCAAAGAGCAAGAGGGATTTTCTCTTGACTTGTGAGCAACTGACTGGCGAGGAATGCAGAGAGGCAATATCCTTCATAAAGCATTCAGCTGACGAATCAGTTGTCAAAGAGAAGATGAAGGCAACATTTCAGTGTCGGCAAGCAATGACTCGGGACCAGCAAGCCTCTTCAACAGTCCTGGATGTGTTTCCTCGTTTCCTCGACATCCCTGGCTTGGTAAGAACAACATGTCATATTTAATTTATTATTGGGATGGTCTGAGGGGTTGCCATGACTCATGGTGTTTCTCCTGTAGGTTGACCAAGATTTCACAATGATGTTTGGAGAAGAGATTTCTGGAAAAATGTTGGCGAGATGGCCCACTTTCTTCAAACCTAGGATCTTGGCAGACTGCAAGAACCTATACTCTAATGTTCATGTTGATGACCTCTTGTCTGCACAACAAAACTCAAATGAGTCAGGCAAGTATTTTCTCTTGCAGATTTTGTTTACCTTTGTAATCTTGAGACCTGTCAATGTTATCGGTTGCATAACCTTGATTTAAGACTATTTTCAGCTTTAAACGACTGACTGTTATATTTGCATATTTTTTGCCCCTAGGATGGGACAGTGACCTGTCAAGCATTCTACTCTTGGTTCATCTACTCCCCCCAACCTCAAAAGGCCATAAGAAGAGTGCTAAAATTAGCTCGTATCAATCTGTCAGCCATGTTGTGAGATATCTCAAGGTAGGCATTATTTTAGTTTTTGTATGCAGTTGTTATATCACTGGCACTCCTTGAGTTGGGACAATTTTGTTTTAAGTAGCTTAGTATGCCATTAAAACTTCTCTGTCTCTCTACGTTTTTGCAGATTGGAGCCAGTGTTGAGACCTTCCTTTCGAGTTTGGAACCAGGGCAGCCCTTCCTGCTGTGTGTTGGTGAACAGAAGAACAACATTCAACGGTTCTACGTCATCGTTGACCACAAGGCCATCCCTTGCAAGGGGCAGACATCCATGGCAGCCTTCGATGAACTCTTCAAAGCTCACTTCATCTTCAGTGTCAACTACCATGAATCCCTCACCAGCTTCTACACTTTCATACAAACCACGGTATTTAACATTGATATTGGAAGTGCCAAGGAAAGTCCCAGAGTCAAAGAACTCAGAGCAAGGCTTCTGCACACTGATATCTGAAGTTATTTACATCACTGGATGCAAATATGCTGATTTGTTTTATCTGTAAGGGACACCACAAAAGTTCTGCATTGCTTTGTCAGCATTTGAAATTTCACCATGGTTTATATCCTGGAAAGTCATTACGTTTGAAATGTGGCCAGCCAGGATGTTCTTTATCCAATTGTACTTATTCAGGGTTCAAAAAGCACCTCTTCAGTCTGCACAGGGACACTGGTTCAACTAGTACTATGGACAATGTGGACACTCAACGAGAAACTGATGAATCTTCAAGTTCTCAGGCAGTTTGTACTGACACTTCCGTAACCTCCCAGGTTACTTTTGATAAACAGCACGTGTTAAACATGTGTGGTTCTGTTGTAGCCCAGTTACAAGCATCTGGTGTTGCTGAGAGCACTGTCCAAGCAATGGTGGGGTCCATGGAAGAGCTTGTAAATGATATTCATAGACAAGCAAGAGATGCAGTTCTCAACTGCAGTTCAGAGGTCCAAGGCACTGATTTGGGTAAAAAGTTGGAAAATAGTTTTGATCAGCTAGAGAATCCTTTCACATCCTTTAATACAGGATCCAAACGACAAAGGTTCTTTGAAGAAAAGTGGGAGATTGTTGAACCTGTTGAGTATGTTCTTGGGGTCAGATTTGATTTACGCAGAGATCGAACAACAGGAGTTTACAATCAGATACATTTGTGTATGTACCCTTGTTGGGAACCCTTAAGTCCATATTTAAGAACAGTGAACTATGTGAATTATTCCTGCAGGCAAAACAACAAGAAGAAGGTACTTATAAAGACATAAGTGATGGTTCATATTTCAAAAGCAATGATTTGTTTTCCAAGCAAAAACACGCTCTACAGGTTCAACTCTATGACGATTTTGAGACAGCAAATCCCTTAGGTTCAAAGAAGGGTATACACAAACTTGGTTGTATTTACTTCATATTGAGGAACCTACCCCCAAAATGTAATTCTGTGCTGATGAATATTCATGTCGTGGCACTTTTTCATGCACAAGACCTGAAAAAATATGGATTTGATGCAATACTAAAGCCTCTCACTGATGATCTTAAAATACTTGAAATGCAAGGGATAGAGGTGCCTTTCTCTGACTCACCATTGCTAGGATCTGTTATTCAAGTAACCGGTGATAATCTGGGTTTACACGGGCTGTTTGGTTTTGTTGAGTGTTTCAGCGCAACATATTGTCGTAGATTTTGTTTAACTACCAAAGGAGATTTACAGTCCGTCTTCACTGAAGATGACCCTGGTATGGTTTTTCGTACTAAAGAAATCCATGCAGAACATTGTGCAGCTCTACAGGAAAATCCTATTTTAGGGTCAACATTTGGTGTCAAGAAGACATGCTTGCTCAATACACTAACATTTTTCCACACCTCTGATAACTACGCGGTGGACATCATGCACGATTTGCTTGAAGGTGTAGTGCAGTACGAACTGAAACTTGTATTTCAGTACCTTGTCAATAAGAAATGTCTATCTCTGGAAACACTGTCAATGAGGATCCAAAGTTTCAACTACGGATATACTGAGAGACGGAACAGGCCAAGTGGTTTAAAAATGGATGAGAGCAAAAATCTTGGATTGAATGCAATTCAGTCATGGTGTCTCTTGCGAAATGCTCCCCTTATTCTTGGTGATGTTGTTGAAAGAAACAACAATTGTTGGAATCTGCTCCTCCTCTTGATTCAGATTGTGAATATTGTTTTTTCACCAATTATTACAAATGGTATGACATATTATTTGAAGCATTTAATCATTGATCACCACAAGCTGTTCAAATCTTTGTTTCCTGACAGAAGACTGATTCCAAAGCATCATTTTATGATACATTATCCAAGGTGTATTCGAAAAATAGGTCCACTCCTCCATGTATGGTGCATGAGATTTGAGGCCAAACATAATTTTTTTAAAAGATCAGTGAAGAATTTCAAAAACATTACAAAAAGCTTAGTAAAACAACACCAAAGACATTTGGCTTATCACTGGGAGAATTTTAATTTTCAGAGGTTCGAGTTTGGTCCAGTCAGGAAGGAAATGATCGACAGTTTGGAGGGTGGTGAGGCTTTAAGTGCTGCATTTAAGGTGAATGCATACTGCGACGTGTCAACTACTAACTGGGTAAAGAACTATGGAACTGATTATCAAATTGGAATGTTTGTTTCCATAAGAACTGATAAAGAAACTCCTGTTTTTGGAAAAATCAATAATATCATTCTAAATGAAGATCGAGCTTTCATTTTGATTTGCAAAGTGGACACACTGTATTTTGATGAACACTATAGTTCATACTGTATTGAGGAGACGATTGATTCATTTTCTGTTATTTCTATTGATGATTTACGTTATTATAGACCCTATGACAAACAGTTTTCTAATGAGATGGATGGAAAAACATACATAGTGCCACATTGTCATATTGTGTAACCTGTGCTGTTAAGGACTGCATGGACGTACTGTGGAATGTTAATGTAAGACTATGTTGTATGTGTTGTTTTCACACAAATACAGTTACATGTTAACTGCAAACTTTGAAACTTGGCTTGTGTCTTTCTTTTATATCGTTTTTATTAATAATGTTGCATTGTGTGTAGGTGAAATTATAAATTGACACCCTACAGTGCTTATGAATCAACTCTAAAGAGTTAAATATTGAGTTACATTTTATATCCTTAATAGTGTTAATATGACTTTAACTCTATTTAGTGTTAAAAATGTACACTTGTGGTGTTAACTTTTGACACTGCAAGCTAGTGTTGCGTACATTTAACACTGACCGGTGTTGACCAGAGTTACATTTTAACTATAGAGAGAGTTGCTGGAACTCTGTCCTAGTGTAAACCTTTTAACACTTTCAAAAGTGTAGTTTTAACTCAAAACAGTGTGGACCTATATAGACACTTTAAAAGTGTTGGATTTGACTCTATAAGAGTTAAATTAGCACTGCTGATTTTGCTGTGTAGTTAGACCATTTTCTGGACTTTTGGATCCATCAGTAAATATGTTTACAAAGTGCCCATATTGTTCATGTAGAACAGTGTTCACGTAAAGCTGCACATTGACTTTTATTTTTCATTGAATGTAACCGTTTCAATAAGGATGAGGTGGCAACCATGGTGGAACAGCTGATAACAACACCTTGGGACTAATATTCCATGCTTTAACTTTGAATTCCTTACATATTTCTGAAACACAAAAACTTTCTTTTTTTATTTTGTTACCTTCCCAACTTGTTTGTATAGTCGGGTGAGTATCTTCATGGCCCTGTATATTTGCCCAGTAATGAACAATTAACCGTTTTCTCCTCAAAGAAATTGGTATTTCTCCGACCTCTACCTGAAGTGCCGACACTGGTGTAGATCTGACTGCCCCCCCACAGCATATCCTTAGTGCTTGTGCCTGGACTCTATCTAATTTTTGTAGAGAAGAGTATGCAGCTGAACCATACACTATTAGTCCGTATTCTATGACTGATCTAACTAAGGCTCTGTATAAGCAGCTTTATCAGCCCCCCACTTAGTGCCTGCCAAGCACCTCATAACATTTAAAACCCTTTTACATTTATCCACTACTTTATCAATGTGAGTACTCCATGTGATTCTCTCGTCCAATCATATTTCCAGAAACTTAAATGTCTTCACTTTCTTTAGTTCTTGTCCATAAAGTTTTAACCTAACCTCCTCACCTATCCTTTTCCTCTTAACAAATAAAGTTTCAGTTTTTTCCACCGACAATCTAAACCCCCATGTCAGAGACCAGCTTTCAAAATGTCTTCCTGAATCTTAGCTACAATATAATTTACATTTCTGCCCCTTTTCCAAATAGCTCCATCATCCGCAAAAAGTGACTTACCAATATCAGATCCTACTTGTGTGTATATATCATTTATCATGATAGAAAACAAAAGAGGACTAATTACACTCCCCTTACACTAAGACATGACTTCTCTGATAAAGATTGCATATCTCCATCATTTCTATCTTGTCATATAGCACTATATCCCCCAATTATGAAGTCCAAGTGAGTCTTCAGCCATGTTTCTTGAATACAAATAACGTCTGGTTTTTCTTTGAACTTATATATATATATATATATATATATATAGGTCTTGAATTATTGTCCATTTGCAATAAGGCTTCTAGCATTCCACTGCAGAATGAGAAACACCATTCATCTACTCACTAATCTGTGAATCATCATTATTGGAGGCTAGCATATCATGTATCATTTCAACGGTTATATCCTTTATCCCCAAAAATGCACCTGCTGCTTCCACTGTTGATTTCAGTCTTGACCTACTACAATCAATGCATCCTCTCCTATCACACACTGATGTGAACACTTTGTGGAGCTTTCCTTTTCCTGTGGGAGTTTGGGGAAATCTTTTGAAGAGAAAATACTTGCTGCTACTTGATTTCCTAGCTATGTTTAGTGAAACCTTTTCTGTTGCTTCAGCATATGAGACTTTATTTTGCACTTTGTGTCTCTGCACCTCCTTGGCCTTTTTCTGCACTTCGCAGCCCTGATACGCAGCACTATGTTCCCCACCACAGTTACAACATGTCACCTTAGCACCTGCATCACAACTACCATATTCATGTTCCCCATGGGCGTCGCCTGGGGTAGGCATCCGGGGCTTTAGCCCCGGATGTTTTTTCTTTAGCCCCGGACAACTTCTCCCTCAATAATATAATACATTAACCTACTTTACCTATAGGACAGACGGCAGGAATGTAATTTCCCATGTTCATTGAATGCAACACAGAGGCAAGACGACGCCACCAGACCAATCAGAGAGTTGCATGGACATAAACGTGTTTTATTGGCTGACAGGTACGTACCTCTCCTCTGTGACAATGTTTAAACTTTACACTGTCAGCCCCGGACGCGGAGATTCTGAAGATGGACATTAGACATTTCTTTAATAAAAAAGACGGCAATTCTCAGGTGGTGGCTCACACAACAACCCCAGAGCCACCACCTGAGCCAGGTGAACAAGGTATGTACCTGTCAGTAAACTTACAAGTTATGCGAACATGTAAGCAAAGCATAAATTATAGCTACGTTGAAGTTACT